AGGCATTATTTTTACTGGTTTTTCGAGGCCACTAAAAATCCCGACACAGCACCTGTAGTCCTATGGCTGACTGGCGGGCCGGGATGTAGTTCCCTGCTGGCTATGTTCACCGAAAACGGACCCTTTCTTGTTGGCACCGATGGACAGACAGTAGGAACGCGTGACTATAGTTGGAATACCGTAGCGAACGTCCTATATCTGGAATCCCCGGCCGGAACGGGATTCAGTTATGACGAGAATAATAACTATACGAATAACGATGAGACGACTTCACTGGATAACTACCTGTCTATCGAAAGTTTTTTCGTAAAATACCCGCATTTGAAGGGAAATCCGTTTTATATAACAGGAGAAAGTTATGCCGGTATTTATATACCAATGTTAGCCAAACAGATATACCGACACAACTCCACCATCAATTTGAAAGGTATATCAAAAACACTTATATTTGCATATTTTTGATCCCATTCCCCTCCTATAGGTGTGGCGATTGGTAACGGGGCACTGGCTAATGATAGAGACACCAACTTTGGACAGGCGGCTTATGATTTTGCATTGGGACACGGGTTGATCACTACTGAGGATTACGAAAGGAAAGTAGAAAACTGTTGCGACTGTAAGGTGGGTGCTGTTCAACACCAGTGCGACTTTACTAACCCGGATAATAAAACGTAAGTCTACTTGGTTTAAGGCATCATAGAGTAAATCATTACATGAATCTGTTATGTATTAAAGTAAATATTAATAAATAACTATTAATTTTAATAATACTCAATTAGCTAGCTAACAATGAAATTTTAACAAACAAAAGCTAGATTATAAATTAGTTATTTTTTTAACTTGTAGTATTTAATAATTACTAATAAATTATTTATTATTTATTTTACAGTAAATGTGATTCAGTAAAAATAGACTACCTGACCTCCCAGCTTCCCAACCCATACAATATCTATGATAACTGTGCGCCTGATCTCAACAATCAACAGATATTTAACGAGTATTATAGACCGATGTTTGACAAAATTGGGTTAAGGTTTGGAAATTTTAAGCTCCGAGATAATCCACCGGAATGTAACAAATACGGACATACCGTATATTTAAATACCGGTGCAGTACGTAAGGCATTACACGTACGTGAAGGGTTAAAACCATGGTCTAAGTGCAATGGGGCAGACCTTTATAACCGGACAGGTTTTGCCCCTCAATTGCAAAACGTTAAGGACTTGATACGTACATACAAAATGTCCAGGTTTATCGCATATAACGGCAACTTTGACTCATTGGCGGTGTTTATGGGCGGACAGAGGTTTGTTTGGGAATTGGGATTTCAAACTACCAGTCCTTATAAGTAAGTGAAATACCGGTGCGTTTTTATTATAATTATTATTAAATATATTTTTTGTTAGGAAATGGACGGTCGATGGGACTCCCGATGGGGTTATCGGGGGTTTTATACAGGAATACGAAAGGGGTGTGAGTTTTGTGGTGGTCAGAGGGGCCGGACATATGGTGCCCGAGGATAAACCCGAGGCAGGCCTACAAGTGCTTAGATATTTATTAGGATTAACACAATTTTAATAAAATATATGTTTATTAAAAAATTATAAATTATAAAATAGACATCTAATTAATAGATGAAATTTTATAATAAAATCTAAAAAATAATAACTAAAATTTAAATATCTAGTTTATATAGTAAAACTATTAAATGGATTTTAATTTAACAAATTTTGTTCAAATAGTAGTAAATCTCTACACATTTCACCAAATGTTGTGTTCAGTGTCCACACAATTGTCTCATTGAATACATAAACCGGAGGTTTCTTGTCGTCTAAACACCAGCCAATGGATGACAACTCATTACCCCTTATAAGCAAATGTATTGAATAATAACTACTGTTTCGCCAATTCTCGTCATACTCTGTGTAAAGCATTGGACAGACATTAGGTCTGACACCAAACTGTCCGTCCATTCTGTGTATGAGATGCGGCTGTTTGTTGATAATCTCGAGCACTGGACGTATGCCTATGTTTACGTACCACTCATTGGGGTTATAGTCCCGGAAAGACTCGTAACACAAATGCAAAAATCTAGCATTTTTATGAGCTAGTAACAATAAAAGAATTGTACAAATTAATCTCTATCAATAGCTGCTTTATGAATTACAAAAAAACTTTATTTTAATCAAATCAATTTCACTTAAATATTACCATTGTTAACCTAATGTACAAAACTTGTTAACTTTCTAATAAAATAATATTGTTATTAAAAAATAAATCCTCTTAAGAACTTATTAAAACTAATATAAAATAAATACCTAGAATCAATGTCATAAATAAATACTAAATTTTAAGAAATTAATAATTACTAGTTATAAAAAATTATTAAACGAATTTAAACTTATTGAAACTTATGTAAAGAATTATTATGGTGAATTTAATGCAATATTATATAATTAATTTAAATTAATGTGCATTTAAAATATCAAATATATTTATTGAGCTTGAAATAATAGATTTCTTTATAAAAATAAAACTAATGCACCCACCTATTAGCACTTGGCTTCCCAACTCGTTTTCACTTTGAAAATCAATAGTCATTTCGTATTTGAAAAACTCATTCAAAGGTTTAATGACATAAACATCTCGATCCAAATAAATACCCCCAAACTCCTGGAGCACCTGTAGTCGACTCACATCCGACGCGTGCCATATAAGCCACCCTTCGCTCAGATTTTTACCGAATACTTGGGTCGGCATCTCTATGGATCGCACCGTTAGTCTGGTACCCGTCCTATTGGCTATAGCCTGCACTCTATGCCAGTTATCGCCGTATAGTTCAGTGCAGTCGCAGTGGATATATATGAGGTCCGGGCGATGGTTTTTGAGCACCGATACCATGGATATAAAATGAGCAAACTCAATTTCATGCATTTTAAATAATATATAGTGTACAATATTAGGCACTATATCTATGGGAAAGCCGGTGATATTGTAGTCAACAGTCTGTTTCATTGAACTTGATACATTTGTTA